GGCATCGCTACTAGGAGCAAGGACGCTGCTAGGGTCTCCTGGCATCGCTACTTGGAGCAAGGACGCAACTCGCTACTAGGAGTGAGGACGCAACTAGGGCCTCCTGGCATCGCTGCTAGGAGCTAGGGGCTCCTGGCATCGCTACTACTAGGAGCAAGGACGCTAGTAGGGCTCCTGGCATCGCTACTAGGAGCAAGGACACTACTAGGGGCTCCTGGCATCGCTACTAGGAGCAAGGACGCTACTAGGGGCTCCTGGCCTTGCTACTGGGAGCAAGGACAGTACTAGGGCTCCTGGCATGGGTACTAGAAAGCAAGACGCTACTAGGGGCTCGTGGCATCGTTACTCGGAGCAAGGACGCTACTAGGGGCTCCTGGCATCGCTACTAGGAGCAAGGACGCTACTGGGGGGTCTTGGCATCGCTACTGGGAGCAAGCACGCTACTGGGGGCTCCTGGCATCGCTACTAGGAGCAAGGACGCTACTAGGGGCTCCTGGCATCGCTACTAGGAGCAAGGACGCTACTAGGGGGCTCCTGGCATCGCTACTAGGAGCAAGGACGCTACTAGGGGCTTCTGGCATCGCTACTAGGAGCAAGGACGCTGCCGGGGGCTCCTGGCATCGCTAGTAGGAGCAAGGACGCTACTAGGGGCTCCTGGCATCGCTACTAGGAGCGAGGACGCTACCAGGGGCTCCTGGCATCGCTACTAGGAGCAAGGACGCTACCAGGGGCTCCTGGCATCGCTACTAGGAGCAAGGACGCTAGTAGGGGCTCCTGGCATCGCTACTAGGAGCAAGGACGCTACTAGGGGCTCCTGGCATCGCTACTAGAACCAAGGACGCTACTAGGGGATCCTGGCCTCGCTGCTAGGAGCAAGGACGCTACTAGGGCTCCTGGCATCGGTACTAGAAAGCAAGACGCTACCAGGGACTCCTGGCATCGCAACTAGGAGCAAGGACGCTGCTGGGGGATCCTGGCATCGCTACTAGGAGCAAGGACGCTACTAGGGGCTCCTGGCATCGCTACTAGGAGCAAGGACGCAACTAGGGGCTCCTGGCATCGCTACTAGGAGCAAGGACGCAACTAGGGGCTCCTGGCCTCGCTACTAGGAGCAAGGATGCCACTAGGGGCTCCGGGCATCGCTACTAGGAGCAAGGACGCTGCTAGGGTCTCCTGGCATCGCTACTAGAAGCAGGACGCTACTAGGGGCTCCTGGCATCGCTACTTGGAGCAAGGACGCAACTAGGGGCTTCTGGCATCACTACTAGGAGTGAGGACGCAACTAGGCTAGGGCCTCCTGGCATCGCTGCTAGGAGCTAGGGGCTCCTGGCATCGCTACTAGGAGCAAGGACGCTCCTTGGGGCTCCTGGCATCGCTTCTGGGAGCAAGGACGCTACTGGGGGCTGGCATCGCTACTAGGAGCAAGGACGCTACTAGGGGCTCCTGGCCTCCCTACTAGGAGCAAGGACGGTACTAGGGCTCCTGGCATCGGTACTAGAAAGCAAGACGCTACTAGGGACTCCTGGCATCGCTACTAGGAGCACGGACGCTGCTGGGGGATCCTGGCATCGCTACTAGGAGCAAGGACGCTACTAGGGGCTCCTGGCATCG